TCGATTTCGTTTTACTATAACCATATTTTCGCATTGCTATGAGAAATTTTCCACGTGCATAAAATCTAAAGTTTCGTACACATAGTATCAAATTTTCAGAACCAAAAATGTCCCAAAAATTATTGAAATATAGTAATGTTGTTCTGTCGTCAACTTTCCTGTCAAGTCTATCAGATCGACAACAAAGTCGACAAAACATAATGACAAACTATTCTAATGAACGTCGACTTTTTTATCAACTTTACCATAATCAACGAAAAAGTCAACAAACAAAATAGCGAGCCTTTCTAATGAATTGTTGACTTTTCTGTCCCCTTTACCAAGATCGACGACAACGTTGACAGATCTAAACATAAAATGTAACACATTCCAATAGGTATCCATTTCTCTCTCGACACAAATTAATCGACGATAAGGTCGACGGACATTAACATAATATGTTTTTACATTCAATAAAATTACAAATACTATAATTATAGTTTTTTCAACACAATTGGCATTATTAGATTGAATAATAAATATTCACAACTTTTCACATAAAGGCCAATGCTAACATAATTATAACAACATATTTTTCACATTTCTTAAAACTAAGAAATTCATGAAAACACATTTATTGCATGTTTTATTTTTTTTTCAACAAAATTCGCTTTAAGATCAATAATTATTATAAGATCTTAAATACCAATTAATCCACATAATTTTCATAACACTAGATTTGATTAATACAAAATTAAAAACACAAATCTATAAATTTTGAAATTATCATCATGGATTGATTTACTATGAATTTATAATTCCAGAGAAAATATTTAACACAGTTAATATATATAAATCAGAAACTCATCTGTTGTATACTCGCTTGAGTATACTCTAGAAGATCTGTCTTCAGAACTTGACTACGGAACTAAACCGTAGAGAAACCATTTTGAGCACACCCAAAAATCTCTATGTTGTAAGATCCATCTTCATTACTTTTAACCATCTTTGATCCTGATCTCCTTGAATACTTGTATCAATCCATGGCTATAATATTGTCTTAAGATTGAAAGTATATGAGGGTGGTAATCAAAGAGACAACACAAAAGACACTAAAGAATAAAGACGAAAAATTTATGAACTTTATTGTTAGAAACTTGAATCTAACAATAATGGGGGAATAACAAGATTTGAATGTGTTCTAATCGTGTTAGACACTGTCTTTAAGACAATATTTGCCCCCTCCATGTTGCAATACTGGGTTTGTTTGGCAATTTGCCTCTAGGACATAAAGAACACAAGAACATGCAACTTGCAATTATTAAATGTTCTCAAGAATTTAGGAATGCAAAAGTTATAATGAAATCCTGCACTAGTTCACCTATTTATAGGCAACACTTGCAGAAACAAAGGATACAAATTAAGTACACAACCCTTGGCCTGTAGGAAATAACCACCATACAAGTGAAGGGTTGCCAACTTAATTATTATCCTTAATTTTAAATTAATTATTTTATTTTACAAATTAAAATTTTCAACACCTTTTGTTTGTTTTTTGGTTGCAGAATTCGTTCACGGCTTTGAATGGTTTGGGATTTTTTGTAGTGGGTTTCAATTCTGCTTCAATGGGAATTAGAATCAAAAGGGCCGGAATCGACAGAAGGAGAAGAAGAAGAGACAGAGCCGAGTTGTTGTCATCTCTTTTCTCTTTTTTCCTTTTCTTATGATGATTTGAGATCTGGATATCTAAGTAATAGAATTTGTGAAAAACACAAGAACGGATTGTGTGACTGTGTGACTGTGTGCGTGGCTGAGTATAGACGGGAAAGAGAGAGAACCGAGAAAGGCAGACGGTTTGTTAATTTGTTCAATGGGGTATAATTGGAAGTTTGTGTGCATATATTGAGTTGTACTTTGCTCAATTGACCAAATTAAAAAAAAAAATTATACATTTTGAAACTAAACTATTTTTGTGAGACAGAGAGAGTAGTAATTATCACAGGCGACAGAGGGAAAAAAAAAAACGTTGCGAAATGTAAATAACTTTGAATTATTGCTCGAATCCAAATTTGTTTTAAATAAAAATGGCCGAACTGATCGACTCTTATCTAGGCATGGTTATAATTCTATCTATCCCACTCTTGCAGTAGAATTTTAGCACTTTATTAATAATTTTTCTACGAATCAATTCCATCTAGCACTTTGTTATATACTCATTTTGTTCATAAATAGTTGTTTAATTTAAATTTTTTGTTTTTAATTTACTTTTTAATAAAAATAAAAATCTAAACTCAATAATTATTTCTATAGAGAGAGAGAGAGTATTTTCTTTTTACCTCGTTTAAATTTTAGTTATTTGAAAATAGGTTTTGTGTTACTCTCCAATTATACACTAATTTTATGCATTTAAATAATGTCATTTTAAAGATATGGCAATCGTTGATCATTACGTGCTTCTCTAACATACTTAAAGCCTCAGACACGGTGAAGGGTAAGAATATAGTAGTACATCTTATACTACATTATGTGGTGAACACCAATTGAAATGGATAAAGGACGGCTCTCCAACATCAACTCTATACATGGACTTTGAAAGAACACTGAACACATAAAAAATAAATCCATTTTGTCAATAGTTCACGTGCATTTTGACGAGAAGAGTGAAAAAAAAAAGGAAGAGGAATCTATATAGACATAGGATTTCACAATTAAAAAAAAGAAAGACCAGTTAAGCAATTTGGACAGAGAAAAAGAAAACGTTACAAAATAATCAAAAAGTCGTTTATTTGAATTTTGGATAAGTATTGGTACGCCTGGTTTACTATGTATAAAACGGCTGTTCAAAATTCCAGAATAAAGAAAAAGGAACCAACGTACTAAATTAGAATGGCATTTTTTCTTTTCTTTTCTTTTTTTTTTTTGGGTTGCCATTGGTCATTGAAATTTTAGGTTTAGCTCGAAGACTTGTGTTTTTTTGGGGATTTGAAATAGTTTTATTTATTTTTTTTTGCGATTGGTCATTTATTTTTTGGGGATTTATTTATTTTTTAAAAATACCTTCATATAGGGCATTTTGATTTGTTCTAAGTTTAATCTAATACACATTTTTAATCGACGAAAAAACCTTTAAAATATTTCATAATAATCTAAAGAACACAACAAATGTGAAAATATATTTTTAAAATTTTTTTGTCAATTATAATTGTATACTAGGTTAAACTTAAGAAAAGTTAACATGTCTTGTAATAAGGACATAAAGATTAATAATTAATGTGTACTCCTATTATACAACTTTAACAGCACATATCAGCCGTTGACCAGCTTTTAGGCAGTTCTTCTAACCTGCATATTCTATTTTTCTTTTCTCGGTAAGTTCCATTCCCACCTTTAACCCCCCAGTTTACTCGCGTAGTAGTATGTCCGCTTTCTACATTAATCCACAAAATTTCCTTTTCTTCTCTTTTGCATATTTTGAATATTTTTGGATATAGAATTTGGAATAAATGTACAAACGTACTCCGATAATAAATACCAATATACTAATATTTATTAAAAAAGTAAGTCATTGGCAAAATCATACTCATTTTTATGCAAGAGCATTTTTTTTTTAACATTCTTGTATAACACAAGTCAGAATATTTTATTCTAACTATTTGATACTTGGATAAATTATATTTATGTCAATTATTTTATATTTTGGTAAATATATGTTTATTACTATGTTAGGCTCCGTTTGATAATCACTGAAGTCTGAATCTGAACACTTAACACTTAACATTGAAGTCTGAAGACTGAATTTACATTGTTTGATAAAAACGTCTGAATTTGATGTCTGAAGACTGAAGTCGGAAGTCTGAAGACTGAATCTGAATACTCAGGTCTGAAAGTTATTTAAAATTTTAATATCATTAAAATTGAATTATAAACAAAATTCTTTTAAATAAAAAAATAATTAATATTTTGTTCTAAATAATAGAATCATAATTTTAAAATAAGTTTTTTGTGTATATAATGAAAGTAGATATTAAACTTGGTAAATAATCAATATATAATTAAATTTAGATTATTGCATATATATGTATACCGTGTTATTTAGCAAATTTCATGTATTAGAATTAGTTTAATTTGAGTTTGAAAGTTTGAGATCTTTTATACTCATAATATAAATTCAACTTTAAGCACTCTTAATTAATTCATCTAAAGAAAATAAAAATTTTAAAACAATGTAAAAATAAGAGTCGAAATAAAGACGAAGGAAAAAAAGGAAAAAAAGAAAAAAGAAAAAAAAGAATCATTACAGAAATTAAGTGATAAGTGATAGGCCTATCACTTATTTTTTGGCTCACAATTGAACTGGGCATTCAGAGGCACTTAATTAATTCAGACAGTGAAATTTTAGTTATCAAATGCACTTAATTTATAAGTACTTAATTAGTTCAGAACTTAATTCATTAAGATTTTTTAGTAACAATTATCAAACACACTTAATTTCATTAAATACTTAAATAAATTAAGTCATTATATTAAGTGGTTATCAAACAGAGCCTAATTAGTTTTACAAAAGATATATATATCGTATTAACAATGTGAAATATATAATGGCAAGTGGCAACATACGATTTTTTTTTCTACAATGATAAGTAAGTGATTGTGTAAATCAAAATCATATGTTTCAAAATTTAAAATGGAATGCATTAATCACAATTAAGAGATTTAATTTTCTATAATAAATAATTGAAATTAACCTTAGTATAGCTACCATTTTTTAAAAATTATAACATAAAAAATCTTACTTCTTAATGAACTATTAAATCCAAAATATTTACAAATCAATATCTGACTAAATAATAGTCGTCGTATTCTATAATATCACAACCCATAACCTCTAAATTAAGTAACAAAATCATACCAAATTATCAATAATAAAAAAATAATAGTACAAGAGATACATAGTTTATCGTGAAAGGGTAATTCGGGTAATCTGAATCCATGTGAAAACAAATACACATCGTCCTTTGCTTCATCATTTTCCTTTCACATTTCTGGTCTATGAGTCATAAAAACAGAGTCTAGGGAGTCCAGACAAAGAACCCACCAAAATTGGTTCTTTAAACGTATTACCAGTTTACTGCTTCAAAAGTATACTGCCAAAACCATTTTAATGGAGGGAACTCCACTTTTATGAACTCTCTTCTGCAACCAGAAAAAAAAAAAAAAAACACACAATAATTTCTCTTCCTAGGACTTCACTAATAGTACTACTAAATTCCAAAAAGGAACGCCATTTTTACTAGTGGCGCCATCTCCTCACCAAACCTTCTTTCAAAATCTTTCTCCTAAAACCCACCCTTTCCAGATTACATAAATCTTTCAAACCCATTTAATCTTTTCATCAACTCGTCTTCTTTTTCCCATTTTGTGTCATTTTTTTTTCAATTTTTTCCCCCTTCATTAGAAAGTATGGACTTGACCGAAAAAGAGAGCACTGATTCCGGGTCAGGGTCACCCGTGGAAACAGAGTCGCCGGAGCCACCTTTGATTACCGCTGCAGCGGTGGTGTCACCGGCGGTGCCTGAGCCGGCGGTGATGAACATGGCTGTGGGAGTGACTGAGAATAGCAGCCTGGAAGCGAAAATAGCCACCACAGACGGCGGAGGTGGCGGTGGTGGGGTGGTGGTGGGGAGTGGTGATCTGGTGATGGTGACAGCAGGGACAGGGTCTGTTTCAGGGTCAGCAGGAGGCAAGAAGAAAAGAGGGAGGCCAAGAAAGTACGACTCAGAAGGGAACTTAAGAATTCCAAACGTAGCATCAGCAGCAGGAACAGGGAGCCCACAAACTGGCTTTACTTTGACGTCACCCAATTCTTCTTCTCATTCACATTCTCAGTATTCTTCCTCTTCATCATCAAAAAGGGGTCGGGGTGGTAGGCCTTCTCCCTCTGGGAACTGGCAACTTCTTGCTTCTTTGGGTGAGTTTAATTCGTGAATTAAATCCCCCCATTTTTAGCCTTTACCTTCTTTTCTTTTACTCTTTCCACTGCTTTTTAGGTATACGTTATGGTTGTGTAATAATTTGGTCCTTATGCTGTTGCAAACTTGCAATGCATCGATTCAGAAAGATTTGAACTTTTCCCTCAAAATTAACGGTTTGATCTTCTAATTGATAATTGATCTTTTGATTATAAATGGGATTTCTGTTTAATGAGGTTTCATGGAGGAAAAAAACCCTTTATCTAGGGTTGTATACAGTTACCTTTTTGGGGGGTGGGGGTGGGGGAAAATGTTTATTCAGATATATTAATACGTTTTTGTGAAACATATTGACTAGAAATGCAGCTGCAGATTTCCTAAAAACTGTTGAACCCTACTGTACTTCTCTGGTTTTGTTAAAGTGAGGGCAACCAAACAGGGATTCTGTATTTGTTTATCTATTCCTAATTATTTGTTTTGGTTTTCTGTTTCACTCATGGCTCCATTGATACTTGTAGGTGAACTGTTTGTAACCACTGCCTGTGATGATTTTACACCGCACGTTGTGAATGTAAATACTGGAGAGGTAATGAGATCGTTCTTAATCATCTCTTTTTAGCCAATGTTATGTTTCTTTATTTGTTCTCCAGTGATGGCAGATCATAAATTTCTGAGTATTTTTGTGACATGCAGGATGTTGCAGGAAAGATCATAAATTTCTCTCCTAAGGGATTGCGAGGGGTTTGTGTTCTATCAGCCAATGGGACTATTTCAAATGTCACAATCCGTCAACCTGGTTCTTCTGGGGGCTTATTAACCTATGAGGCAAGATAATTATCTCTTATTTCTATAGGAGCATCATTGAATCGATATATTTTATTCTGCATCTTAGTTTGAACCTATTATGTTACTGTTTTCTGAACTCGGTGATTTTATTCTGCTCCCGAAGAAGCATTATTTTGTCCTCTAATATTCCTTAGTCATACTGAGAATAGACTTAGTGATAGCTCCAGGGCTGTCTTTACTTGTTTAGGCGATACTGAAAGAAACTTACCACAACTTGGACTTATTAAATTTGTAGGCCTATGAAGCATGTCCTTTCACACAATAGAACTGTTTGCAATCTGATTTGTCTCACTGACACTATTATCATTTGATATTGATTTTAGAGATACTATTATGTGATTTTGCAAACCCCAACCAGAGATTATGTGCCATTTCTGGGTTAGAAGTCTTCTTTATTTGTTTAGGCAATATTGAAAGAAACTTACCACAACTTCAACTTATTAAATTTATTTGTCGGCCTATGAAGCATGTCCTTTCACACAGAAGAAGTGTTTGCAATCTGATTTGTCTCACTGACACTACTATCAATATGATATGATTTTAGAGATATTATTATGTGATTTTTCAAACCCCAACCAGAGATTATGTGCTTTTTCTTAGAAGTCTTCCCCATCAGGCCAGAAATTGTTTTCAGGCAGAACCTCCGAAAAAATTAAAAAGCATGTAACTTTATCACATTTAAAGTACATTTCTTTGGAGGTTTTACTGTAAATCTGATCTGTGGTGTCTCTTAATTGATGTTTTGTCGCTTCCATTTTGGAGCCGTTTGAGTTTGAATATAGGATTTCGGTCACCATAACTGATAATTTCCGTTAAAGAAACACGGCACCATTTTGGAATTTCTTTGAGTTTGAATCTGATCTGTGGTTTTACGTTTGAGATGATTACCTTGTATAGAAGAACGTTATATATTATGTTTTTAATGTGAACTGATCTCCTTAAGTTGAATGAATATTTATCTAGCTCAAGTTTAGCATGTTGTTTTGTCCACATCCAGTATAAGTTTTTTTTTACTGTAACTAGTTCTTGCGTAATGAAACATGTGGATTTCCTATTAAATGCAGGGCCGTTTTGAAATTTTGTCATTAACTGGGTCATATACAATATCGGGAGATGGAATCATAAAAAGCCGGACAGGTGGATTAAGTGTTTCCTTAGCTGGTCCTGATGGTAGAGTTATTGGTGGTGGAGTTGCTGGTTCGCTTTTGGCTGCTAGCCCAATCCAAGTATGCCTATTCACCATTACCTTATTATGATCATTAAGTTTCTGGTTACTATACACTTTGTGATCTGATTTTTCAAATAGTAACATATCACCCCATAATTATTTTCTCGATTGAGAGACATTTCCGAGATAATAATTCCCTCTAAATGGCCTACCATATGATAACAGTGTGTTACGGTTTATTAAATACAAAAGAACAGCATGCACTCGTTTATTTTAGTTACGTCTATTTCTACCTCAACTACAAAATTTAGGCATATAGGATGAAGGGCTTGACTATTTTGTAAGTGCTGTCGCCTTGTGACCAAGATCACAAGTTCTAGTCATATTTGTTTTAAACTCTTGGGTAATTGAGTATAAATTTACTTTTTGTGAAGAAAGTCACCTCGTTTTGACCTGATATTGTGAGTCATTATACTGAATCATATCTATGGCTTGAAGTCACAAGGTTCCCACAATATTTTGAAGTCTTCCCTTACTCTGGGATGACCCCTGTTTGTAGCTACCTTATGCATTGTTTTTGAGTTAAATACATTATTTGGAGAACATACTTTCTTCACATCGAACCTGATATTGTGAGTGCTGAAACCGACTTGTTATTATGGCTCTGTTCAGTTGTGGTGCCAGCCAAGTCCACTATTGTTATAGATTGCTGGCATAGTAAACTATAGAGATCAATGCACTACAGGAACTCATGACTTTTAAACTACATCGAGGATCCCTAATGGAGTAAATGTAATAAATGGAGTATTTTTCATTATTCTCTTCCCTGTTGCTACATGCATTCTCTGCATGTCTGATGGTAAAAATCACCCCATCCTAAATATTGTAGACTGGCCACGACACCATAGAGGCCATTGGGTCCGTATTTTCTCATAACTGTCCAGCACACCTTCCTGTTTTCTTTGGATGGGAAGAGTAATAGAATCTTCCATCTGAGCAAACTGGTATCATCCTGCCAAAAACACATACTTTAAATGACTTTGTCAATGGCTCTAGTGAATGACCGTTAATCATGAAGATTCTTGTGTCAGCTGTTTTTCCTGTTGTCGATAATATGTATCAGTTCTATTGGTAAAACCAACATACGATGTTGATTAATTCATATAATTTCTTGTCTGTCTCAAGATGGTTGTGGGAAGCTTTGTTCCAAACAGTGCAAAGACGAGTAAGAGGAGGCACAATCCAGAACCCAAGATGAGAACTCCTGTGAATGTAGCCCCGGATGTTGTGACCCAGGCTAAACCAGTATTACAAGCAGCGCCACAGAGCCACATGTTTGCTACAGCGACATCTCACTTCATTGTAGAAGCTAATGGAGAAGCAGATAACAGCACAAGCACAAAGGACAATACGAATTCGACATCTTCTGATATTGCTGATTATAATGGTTCAGGTCCGACCATAGATATGAGGGGAACTCCCGATATCAATGTGTCTGTGTCATTTGATTAACAATGGAAAGGGAGGTAAAAAAAGTTTTTTTTTTTTGCAAGTGTGACTGCATCTAGAATGCGCTTGATTGTAATTTGAGGATCTTATATCCAGTTTAGTGATGCAATAGAGGCTGGTAGGGTAGTGGGAAGGTGCTAATTTTAACATCTTTGTGCCGTGAGACCTTAGAAACAGTGTTTACAGTTTCATACCATTTGAAAGACGAATCCAGCATACATTAAACTCAAGTTTCAAGGTTTCTGTTATTGTTTTCTTCCATACTATCAAGTGTTCTATCAACATATTGATGCTTATATGATAAAGCATGTCTTGAAATTGCACTTCCAGTTCCAGGGATACAGGACAGTTGTGGATGGCATGCTCCCGCCGTCCCACTCTAATAATCTATGTTATGAATGATTGATGCGTTATGAAGCTGTTAGTACAGGATCTTAATCCCTTATGACCGGATATAGTCAAGACCCATCAACTTCTAATGAGTACTTGTGAGTACTACGTATAAAATCTCTTACCTTGTAGAAGCTTCTAGCTAAGGCCCAACCCAAACAAAGTCACCCAAGGTAAAAAGCCCATTTAGAACCAGCCTTGAAATTTATTCTTGGGGGGTGTTCATCAATTATTATCAGCCAAAACATCTCGCTTAAAGATAATCAAATAATATTAATTGTTGTAGGTAGGTTTTACATTTTTTTTATTTTTTTTTCTTTTTCTTGGAAAAGACATTTTTGGAGTTGAAAAACTGTTAAACTGTTAAAGTTTTTGGTGAAAAATTCTCAGGCTATAGTTTGAGTATATTTATCCACATGTATTACAAGATGAGAAACGTCTTTTTCAACTCCCCCTAGCTAGTAGTAGTGGTCAAAAAATGGGTACTTTTTTTCCATGAACTATATGAAAACTGTGAAAACAGATGGCATGTTACAAAATGACTACTATTAGCAAGCATTATCTATATATTTCCAGAAACTTACCAAATGTTCGAAGAATATCTTTCTAAACAAGAATCTAGAACACTCTGAAACCTTCTAGTTTATATGCTTAATAAAATGATTCGAAATCTCCAGCAGCTTCCATTGTTTAAGCATACCAAGTTCTATCATATCCAAATCTCTTAACACTGGTCCTTTATATAAACTCGTTCCCTGCCATCTCTTTCAACAAGTTAGCAAACTCATTCTAACAGGATCAAACAGTTCATTCTCAATCCATCAATCAATCAAATCAGAATAGGATGAAGCCGGTGGTTGTTCACAAGGACCCGGAGAAGAAAGACAGAGTAGAAATCAGAGCAGAATGCAGGGCTCCTGATGAGAAGAAGCACCTTGAGAGAGTCCAGGTGAAGACCCACGACGTGGAGACCATCAAGCACATCGAGAAGAAGCTGATTGACAAGGGAATTCAGAGATTGGATCGCCAACCTGCTGATGGGCTTCCTTTGAAGCACGACCCGAAGAAAGGACATGGAGGGAAGTATTCCTGGGAAGGTCCGGATCCTGAATTCCTTAACGAGCTTAATCCTGCGCCACCAGCCATTGATGAGAAGGATCCGAATTATGTGGATGATGATGATGATGATCGTAAAAGACATGATGATGATGAAGACGATGTTTCTAAAGAAAGAGTGGTAGGAGAAATTGAGACTCCTAAAGTAGCAGAAGAAGGCGTGGTCAGGATTGAAGTTGATCCTCATTTGAAGGCTAACTAACTGAAAAAAAAAGAAAAGAAAAAAGGCATGGAGATGAGGACGCTTATTGTTCTTGTGTTACAGCAAAGATCGAATGTGTGTGTATTGGGCTTGTAGTTGTTCTGTTTTGAAAAAGAAAGAAGCATACATTGCCCTGTAAAAATTGCAGAATAATATGATTGTTTCTTTTTTTTTTTTGGCAATTGATCGTGTAAACATTTGCAGTTCCTGGTTTGTATCTTCTAATTGACGTTGAGCAATAGTTTCTCGAAATTTTAGATTTTGATATTGGGTATCTTTAGTGGTTTCTGAAATTCTCCAGCGGAATGAATTAACACCTGAAATTTCCTGAAAAACAAATTCGATAGTCCCTATAAATTACAAGACTACTAACATGAACACGAAGCCTTACACTAGTTGAAGGCTTCAAGAATCACATACGCTATAAATTCCAGTCCTAATTGGGAGCAAGAGTACTAGAAAATTTGGGACATTTCTCCAAAGCACTTTTTCTAAATTCCAGTCCTAATTGGGAGCAAGAGTACTAGAAAATTTGGGCATTTCTCCAAAGCACTTTCTCCGGATAGCAACTCGGGATCGCTGATTATGCTGGATTGAATAAAATGTAAGGATTGGAGTTGGTTGCATTTCTCCTCCCCTCAGCAGAAAATGCAGAATATACCAAAAATGGTCCTAAATTGGATTTTTGTCACTCTCATTAGAAGTTTAGAACCCGAAGAACTGAAAGGGAAGCTTGTGGAGAAATCCATCCACCGATGATGCTGGTTGAACCACGCACTTCCAATTCTTCCAAGGATTTCAAACTCAAAAATCAGGAGCTACAATATTTCCAAGAAGGCTAGAAGAACCTTATTCAAAGTGGCATCAGCTCTACTGAAACTAAGAATAGTACAGTAACGAACGCTCTCCACAACACATTAATTATAATTTTATGAATTACAAAATTCAAGCAGAAAGGGGTACTTCATATACATTTTCTTTTTCTTTTTTTTTTTTTTATTTTTATTTTGAGCACCCCCACTTCCCATAATACAGAAGCCAGGATGAACACAATGATGATGGCCCAATGTTATTAAGGGTAAAATTAGAATCTTCAAACGATTTATACTTAAAATGAAATGCCAGTATAGAATATAATACGTTGAGAATAGCTCAATCAAAAGAATAAATTGCATAATGTAACGAGTTTGATCCTGCCCCATCATCAGATAGCACCACTAATTTACTGATACAATTCTCCAAATTACTTAACATTCAAAGTGGAGTTGACTGCATTTCTCCTAAAAAACAGAAGGTCGCATGAATTTTTCCAGGCTTGCAAGCGACGAGCCTTATAACCTTTACTCCTACTTCTTCATCTCCTCCTTCTTATTCCCATTTTAGCTCCAAACTGCATAATACCAAAAAAAATACCAAATTGCACTGCCCCCCTCTCTGATCATCTTCCTAAGAATACTTCTTTCTTGCTTTCTCTCTCTGATCACTCTCTCTATACGGATACTTCTATCTTGCTATCTCAAGAAACAATTATGGCAAACTGTGATAATTTTTGGATCAATCCGATGTTCATCGGAGTACGGAGAAGACTACCGGTCTTTCGCCAGATTACCGAACAGGTAATCTAGTTAAAAAGTGTAATTTCGCATTTTCTCTTACCTTGTTGTTCAATTAAAGAAAGTTCGTAGCCGAATTTCATGACTAATACTTTGGGAAAAAAAATTATGATTTGTGATTCCGTATTACGGCTCTGATTTCTTGACTATTTTTGTATCGTTCTCTTTAATCTATGTCTTTTCTATTACTATATTTTGGTAGGGGAATTATAGAAGTATAAATGTTGGATAAAGCTCGGATTTTTGAGACTCCTAAAGTAGTAGAGGAACGCATTGCTAGGACTGAAGTTCATCCTGATTTGAAGGTTAACTAATTGGAAAAAAAGGTATGGAGATGATACTGATTATCCTTGTATTATAGCGAAAATTGAACGTGTGTTTGTCTGGGTTCAAAAAGAAAAACTTGCCTTGTAACATGATTCAGAATAACACGAAGTTTCCTTGTTTTTGTGGCGATAGTTGTCTTGGTTTCATGTATACACTATAATTAATCTAGTAATGTAAGTATTTTCACAATAAATTTTCTGTTAACTTGCTGTTCAAGAAAAAGAAACTATATACCCTCGTTTCTTGCCAATTTTCATGATTAATGCTTGAAAAAGTTATGATATGTGATTTTATCTCTCTTCGTAAAAAAAGACTTTTTGCCTTTTTAGGAGTGCTCCGTGTGCTGTATAAATAAATGGGCACTCCTAAAAAGTTTATCATGGTGCATTGTGAATATTCCACAATCTTCCGCATTCAGCGTTTTGTCCTTGTGTGATAGTAGCGTAACGTCTGTCAAGGTGTATTGAGCAGTGACCAGTTCTATGTGTGGAAACACGCATTGAAGGTACATTTGGGAGAACCGAAACTATGATGCCATAAAATCCAAGGATCAGCAAAATGCAATGGATAATTCTTAAAGTATGACAATCATTTTGTATCTTTTTTTCACTCACAAGTAGATCTTTTGTTGGCTTGTAGTAGTCCAGATCTTTTGCATGAAGATTGTTGAATGCAAGCACTTTCTTTTCTTCAACCAGCAACACATACAAGAAGTAATGGTCTCGATCAGATCGGGAAGTAGATCTGATTTTTCACATCAAGGGGAATCATATGAAAATTTTTTAACAGCCAGTTATAGAAAGAGTGAAGGAGGTGAAAGATGTTGCTTACAGCTTTTGCCGCTATAAGGGATGCTACACTGAGGCCTTGTTCTTCTAGTTCAAGAGCCAACCTCTCATAGAATGTAAACTCTAATTCTTCTTTGTTACTGCCCAGTTGGTTGTATCGACTGATTGTATCCTGCGTTATTGTTTGAGGTGGTTAGAAAATGATACAATGATTAGTACAATGGTTGGAAAATGCAGTAGAAAATAATGATCGGAATCAAGCACATAAAATGTCAACCAAAAGTATCCTAGATGACAAACAAGAATGAATGGATAACCAGTTCAGATCTTGTGAATAAGTAGTACAGAACAGATGGATAACCAGCAAATGAAACATGGACAAGCCACCACATAGAAAGCTTGGATAACCAGTTCAACTCTGGTGGACAAGCATTAGTAACAAATTGGATAATAAGTGTTAGTGGTCATGGGTGATCTTCCTGATGATTACTTATAGGTAGGTAAGTTATACAACAATGATGGATAACCAGCAAATAATGTATGGACAAGCAGCCGCATAGAAGCACAACTAAAAAAAGGCATGGATAACTAGTTTACACATTGCGGATAACCAGCAATTATGGCCGGATAACTAGTTTACAGATTGTGGATAACCACCCATTATGGCTGGATAACTAGTTTACACATTCTGGATAACCACCCGTTATGGCTGGATAACTAGTAGAAAGCCTTTGGATAAACAACTTGCAGACATGTGACAAGTATTTTACCAAGGCGGGATAAACAATAAGGGTTTAGTTGACTTACAAACGAGGAAACACCAAAGAATATCCGTCTTGGGGAGTCACTCTTAGCTTCTTCTTTGTTTAGGATGACAGCCCAAGCATCTATGATGCTAATTTCTATCCATGTCCCTTCCCTCATGGAATAGAATGCTGTCCTGTCTGCCCAAACGATTTGTCCAAATTCAAACAAGAAATTCCTGCATAGAAAAAGTAATCAAATAGACAAATAGTTGGAAAACTGGTAACTTTTTTATCCCACGGGTAAGGATGGTGACTTTTACCCTGATTTAACTATTTCTTCTTGTCTCTGCAAGAGAGGAAGTCTATCAACAGGGCTTCTTCTTGGGTCATTTTCTTCTTCTCCTCTTTCAACTGTATGAATTTTTTCTTGTGTTTCTTCTGCAGCATGAATGGCGACCTGAACTGTTCGGGCAACCGGTGGACTCTTGGTGGATTTCTCCTCTTAGGTTTTTCATTGAGGATCCTAGGACATAACAAAAGAGAGTTAGTATGTAAATTCGTCTTTCTATTTTGTAGTGAGGAGTCACAGTGGATCAAACTTACTTTTCCACTGTCTTTGTTAACCCTTCATCAAGTACTTCAGCTTTCTTTGAGATTGCAGGCGGTGGCGTGGTACACTCATTTTTGTCCAGCATGAGTAGACCACTCGTGGTAGAAGCAATATTCCAATTGGGTGGAATTATGCTTAAAGGGACTGCTTCAACCACCTTTGGGTTTTTCTCAACTTGTTCTGCAACAGCCGCAATAATCTCTAGTTTTTTGGTATCACTTAATGATTCTCAAGCTGGTGCACTGGCCCTTCTTATGATTTCATTGATGAAAGGACTGGGATTCTTTGTTTCGTTGAGTGCAGATGGTACTGGATATTCTTCTGCTTCTATAGTCTCATTCACATCTTTATCCAAATCAACACTTCCTGTGACATCTTCCTGAGTGTTCTTCTCCTGGGTTGTCTCGTAACTGTCTTCCTGACTGGAAAAGATACCCAGGTTAAAGTGTGAGATAGTTGGGTCTTTGAATGCTTTCCTTTTCCTGGTACCAGTGCTTCTCGACCTTTTGGTATAGGTGGATGTCACACCTGAATCCCGGCCGGTGGAATCTTGATGGGATCTCTTCTTTTCTGTTGTGGAGATATTCGTTGCATGTTCTGCAGTACAAAGTTGGAATGTTAGATAATCAGTACGAACATACATATATATTAGACACATTGGATAACCAGTTCAAATGAAGTAGATAATCAGTTCAAATAGGCTGGATAATCAGCAGGAACACAATGGATAACGATTTAAAGGAAAAAAAGGGGTTGGATAAGGAGTACAAATTAGACAGATTGGATAACCAGTTCAAATGAAGTGGATAATCAGTTCAAATAGGCTGGATAATTGGCAGGAACACAATGGATAACCATTTAAAGGGAAAAAAGGGGTTGGATAAGCAGTACAAATTAGACAGATTGGATAACCAGTTCAAATGAAGTGGATAATCAGTTCAAATAGGATGGATAATCGGCAGGAACACAATGGATAACCATTTAAAGGGAAAAAAGGGGTTGGATAAGCAGTACAAATTAGTTAGATGACAAGTACAATCACATCAGACAAGTATTTGTTTCATTAAAAAAATATTCTTTATCTTGTGGTTGAGTTTGTTGTTCATCTACCAGCACTTCTTTTGAAGTAGGCACGGATTTCCCCACTGGAAGAGAATTCTCATCATTTGTCTGGCTCAATTGATCCAGTCCCTGTGCCCCTTGTGGTTGAGTTTGTTGTTCATCAACCACCACTTCTTTTGAAGTAGGCACAGATTTCCCCACTGCAAGAGAAGCCTCATCATTTGTCTGGCTCAATTGCTCCATTCCCTGTGCTTTGTCAATTTCAATGTCTTGAAAATTTGTGGGATTAATTGGAGCTTGTACAGTGTTGTCATCAGTTTGTTGGTGTTGTTGTTGTTGTTGTTGGTCAGCTACTTGTCGTTGCAGCTGTTCTATGATTGTTGCAAATCTGCTTTCAGCGGACTTCCATGCCATCTCGCACAATTCACAAATCTGTGCATCCTAGAGGTCTTGCTGGTCTTGCTGCTGCTCTTGTTCCTGTTGCGTTGTACCTGAAGGCGGAGGCATCTTTCTACTCATCGACACCATTGCATCTGTTAGGATCTTGATATGCTTTGCTTGTTCATCTAGTTCGATTTTTAACTCCATTTCCTTCTCACGAATGTCTAAAACAGTTTTGCTCATCGTGATAATCAATTGGTAGAATTTTTCATAAAGAGCAGCAATGTCCTGCAAAAGTGAATGTAGTTAGTGAAATGTTGAGATGCTAGGTTGGATATGTAAGTTTGATCTGAAAAAAATGGTAGAACATTACATAGACTTGCTGTGTGTTGGGGTTTCCCTGTGTATCCTCTTGTGATTCAGCCTCTGGTTGTTCATCTCGGGATGCTGCTGAGGACGGTTTCTTGAGACGTTCAAGTGTTTGAATATCTGTGAAATTGCTTCCTTGAAGTCTTATTCTGTCGTCCAACATCTTTTGATCCCAAGATTTGATCACAGGGAATGACCTCGGATGTGCTCTCTCATACTCACATCTGTCAAGGTAGGACAACTAACAAAAAAAAAAGTTGGTGTAAATGATATCAGTTCAAGCAGTACAAATTAGACAGATTGGATAACCAGTTCAAATGAAGTGGATAATGAGGGCAAATAGGCTGGATAATCGGCAGGAACACAATGGATAACCATTTAAAGGGAAAAAAGGGGTTGGATAAGCAGTAAAAATTAGTTGGATGACAAGTACAATCACATCAGACAAGTACAAGCAAATTGGATAAACATTGTAAGCAATATGGATAACTAATAAAATTTGCACGGATATGGTAAGTACCAGGAAAAAAGTGATTGGTCCGGTGAATGGTTTCCCATCGTGGTGACTTTTGCATCATTTTATTAGTGCATCAATCGCATATTGACACCAATTGTATTGTGTCACTTCATTGATATTCACGCGGGACTTCAGGATGTTCATTGTGATCCTGGAAGTGGTGTTTCCATGTAGGAATGTGCTCACAACGAAGACCAGGAAATCTCGTTTGAAGTCATCACCAAAATCTTTTCGACCAGCAATTAATTGTGCTGCGGTGGATCTCGTTAGCAGGAATTTGTTACTGTATCCTATTCTTTTCTTGAATGCATCCACCATCTCAGCGTGGTCCGTTATAGCGGGATCATTCTGTTTGAATTCTTCCACTGGTTTGGGCCCACGAGGAAGATCAAGTACAGCAACAACATCTTCCTGTTTGATATCCAGTACATTGTTCCCATTCAATGGGACTTGTCTTGCACCGGTCTGGAAATTGTTTGCCAGAAAATTACATAAGGCTGTTGGAATATTTTTGATTTTGAGATCCAGTAAGGCGCCAAATCCCATATCTCTGATAGCCTGCCTTTGTAGTTGGCGATAATTTACCGCATCTGGCTCTTCCTTAAGATCTGTTGGTTTATTGATTTCAGAGATGAGTTGGAAGATATGGTTCCGTGTCATCCTTGTCTCAAATTTCTTGACAGAATCTTCAGAACAGATTGGCTGTGGATCTTGACCAATCATCAGTTTGTTGTTCTCAGGTTTCGTTCTTTTTTTTTGGGCTTTTTATCATCGTTGTCACCAGCAACCACAAGTTGCTTTGGATTTCCTGTCGGTGTGCTCTTCTTCCTCTTTGTTTTTCTCCACAAGTTGTGGGGCCTTGGAGTTTGTACAGGGGACTGTTCTTCTTGGGTTGATTTTTGTTTTTTATATATGGTCAGTGTTCCTTCAGGGAGGTCCATTATTTTCTCTGGTTCAGGATCCGGTGATCTGTCTGGGTTGCAGTTGAGGTCGTGGCTTGCTCTGATCCACTCGTGCCTATATTTTGTTCTAGCCTCCTTTAGGGAACCGTTGGCATTGCACAATAAGTAAGAAGTCAGTGGACAAAATAGCAGGATATGAAAAGGAGTAGTAATCAAAAAAGGAGTAACCAGTATGAAATGGGTGGATAACCAGCAAATAATGTATGGACATGTAGCCAGATAAAAGCACATCTAAAAAAAACAATGGATAACCAGTTTACTCATCATGGATAACCAAGTTAAAATGGGTGGATAACCAGAAACAAAGTTTGGACAAGCACCCCATAGCATACACGCAGGAAAACTTGGATAACCATTTCAGATATATAGTGGATAACCAGTTCAGTTTGTCCATGCCACATAGAATCAAATGTAAAAAAAGCATGGATAACCAGTTTACCACTTGTGGATAACTAGTATGAAATGGGTGGATAACCAGCAAATAATGTATGGACGTAGCCACATAAAAGCACATCTAAAAAAAAACAATGGATAACCAGTTTACACCATGCGGATAATAAATATTTAATGGATGGATAACCAAAAAAAAAGTTTGGACAAGCACCCCTAAACCCTAAATCAGTAACAAAAAAAACACAAAAACATGGATAACCAGTTCAGTTTGTCCATGCCACATAGAATAAAATGTAAAAAAAGCATGGATAACCAGTTTACAATTTGTGGATAACCACTTTACAACTTCTGGATAACCACTTTACAACTTGTGGATAACCGGAATGAAATAGGTGGATGACAAATGTCAGTATGATATAGATGGATAACCAGACATTATGGCATGGACAACGATCACATAGCATACGCAGGAAACCATTATAAATAGTTCAGATCTAGTGGTTATACACAAGATATTGCTGGATAATCAAAAGAATAGGATCCTGAAGTAATATACTTATCAGTGAAGCATGTAGATGAAGGAGAGCTTGAGATGGCCGGACGTAGGGTTTCTCGCCGTCGTCTGTGTGTGTGTGTGGGGGTTTCTGAAAGAGCAAACTGACAAAAGGAAAAAACGCAGGAGAAGATGAAGTTATCAAAATCGTCTTCCAGCGTAGGTTTTCCGTCGATTTTGTGTAATTTTGTGATGGTGGTCAATTTTGTATTTGCCCTAAAATGGAGAGTTTCCGCCGACTGTGTGTTTGTGTGTGTTTATGCGTGAGGATGAAATGGATGAAAACAATATTCTGTGTGCATTTAATGTAAAGGTAAAAACAGTTGAGCGCGTGGTGCGCGTGTGTTTGGTGGGGAGTATACGGTACACCCGGGTCCACTGGATACGGCCTCTTGTTTTAGTCTAAATAAGAACCTTATGGTATGTACCATTTAGCAGGAGAATATTTATTTCCTAATTAACCACACATCTCCTAAAAGTGCATTAAGGACTACATAAATTTGGAAGAAAAAAAAACAAATGTGATTGGATGAGGCGCTTACATTATCATGAGTTCATTGGTTCAAGACTATAATTCAGGACAACAAGTTGCATTCTAGTGATAAAATGCCTCACATGTTTTTAATAGATCGACTCACGCCGAAAATAAGTAGAGAACTACTATTAATACCTTTAAAAAGTTACTGTAATTGAACAAAATAGTTAATTATATGAGGTAAAATTTATAACCCTTTTTATTGTGTGCATTGAACTTTACAACGAATTATTTAGTTTCTCTTGCATCAACATGTCGAGAAAAACTATATATTGTAAATAATCTACCAATTGGGTTAAGACCATTGATAGAACACGGTTTAGTAAGAGTTTTCTATACCTATAATGCAATAAAACAATCTTGATAGAAAAAAAAAATTTAACTACAAAAGAATATATAGAAAACGTGAAGTAATTCCACATTTTATTAAACTCATATCGTGGGCTCATCATCACTCATTGCTAAATATGTTTCTTTTTTTTTTTAACAATGAAGGAGGTGCCAAGGCATGTAATACAATAAGGTTATATTTTCTTTTTTTTCAGTTAATGAGAATAAGGCCTACAATAATAAATTATCATATTTCGTAGAGTAAAAATAAAACTCACAATAAATATCTAGCAGTCCCACTAGAGTTTTCCAATCCAATTCCTATACAAAAATTTTTTTATATATCGAATGATCTCTTGATAAACTCTCAAATTTTGGTCTTGCAATATCCGAAGCTCATACAGAGCAATTACATAAGAGTAATAGTCAAGTTTGGTGAAGGAAAAAACTCGACTATGTTTGTCTTGTTTTCTTTGTAACTACAATTTGTCTTTCTTTCCCTCCATTTGATTGACATAAATAATTTACTCTAATTATCAACATTTCAAGAAAAAGAAGATATTGAGAATAACAATTAATTAATTCCTGGATATAAGAAAAGTGACTGGTGATTTCTTCACTAATTCCTGCGGTTGGAACTTGATAAATAGGATGTTCGTTATTTCTATATATGATAAGATGGATGAATATATTCACATCAAAACACAGTGTTACCAAGCTATTGAGGCACTCGAAGATAAATTTAAATTGTCATTTTCACAAAAGAAATACCAAATTCCTGAAAGGGTTACGAGTTTGAATCTACCTGCTATAGATTAGAAATCCCCTAATAGGGATGCAGCTGAACCATTTCACATTCTTGGAGATCTCAATCCCCATCTGTTCATGAGATCCAATCTTGAATCGCCATCACCAGACATTATGAAATCCATGATGAGGATGTATTGAATTAGTTTATCTAATTTATTTCCTCTATGTTTTGCAGTGAAGTCTGGAGAAAAGATCTCGGTATCTAAGGATCAAGATCCAAACGGAATGGCAACTACAGAATTAAAAAGATCAGCACAGAGTATCCTAAAGGCAAAGGAGTTGATAAATAGTTTCATCCGAAAAGAGCTGTCTTTTGATTACATGATTGTTCCAGGAAACAAGCTCCGTGTATTTTTCGGGCCTAATGCACAGGCAATGACGCACATCCAGGACTGAAACAATTTCGAACTGCAAGAAACTACAGGAAATTCTGCTATGTTGATCTTCAGGGTGGTTGGTCAACCATACTGTCTCGGCCGCAGGGAGAATGATACGTAACCTACTACAATAGGCAGGTTTGTGTTCCTTCACTAAACCCCATTCTTGTCCATATTTCCCTTCAGTAATTCCAAGTTGTTGTCTTGTAAACTATTAAGTAATTGTTTTACTAATCTTAGTACTATAGAACCAGTTATAGTTTTCACTAATCTAAGTTCCTAAAGCTCGAAAAGTTTGACCCAAATGAATGCCTTGTCTTATCTTTGTTCTGTCAAGAACTCCAAATAAGATCTTGAATCTACTATCCCCTTAGAAGAAAAAGTTTGTTGTATTCGTGCCATGAATAAATGTCATATTACATGGTAGTGGAATGTTTGATCCTAGTGTAAAGTTGGAGCAAGTAAATGACACCATATTTGTTGCCTCGTGTTACAGAATCCAGAGAGGTGACAAGTTGAAGACCATGTTCAAAAGCAAATTCATAGGAGATTGCAAATTAAACTGTTGTAGGAGCTTCTTGTGAACGGCTTGGGACTTAGTGGATGTTATATCTAAATATATCGTTACTGTTTTCTTAGTAGCTTGTGAATGTAATGCTCTTCCTCGATATTAGAACACCCTCAACACCTTGAGAAACACTAGAATATTTGAAACTTTACGTTTCTGTAAGTGTTTTCTTCCCGGAAAATATTTTTATTTCGATGCAATAAAGAACTGCTTAATAGTCTAGAAGCTGTAGCTAATTGTCTAAGGCATCAGTGATTATGCATATTAGTTGGTCCACCTTGCTCTGGTAAAACTTCGTCGGTAAGATTATTGGCTCAGCTCACTGGTAATGTGCTTCATGAAGTAAATATTTCGCCTTCCACTGATACATCTGAACTGCTTGGATGCTTCGAACAACATAATGCCTTTCGAAGTTTTCGGCTTCTTATTGGTCAAGTTGAACGATATTTGAGTAGTACTTCAGCCTGCAATTAGAGTCTTCTATGGATGGGTTTATGAACAAAAAGGATATCTTGTGTAAATTGCTTGGCTTCTTATCATCCATCGACATTGAATCTACGAAAAGTTCAGCATTTACAAATGTTGAGGGCTGGAGACAAAATGCATTGAATCTGCTCCATTGCTGGTAGAGATAATTGAAATTTTGAGGTTCAATCATGATAAAAACTTAAGCTCTTGCACTTTTCTTCTCTCTTCAGAATAAATCTGTCAAAACAGTTCTTGGAGAATGTTATATGTGATGGAGGTGTTAGAAATGTTTTCCTAACAGCAATGCTTCAGGATCCTAACTGTTCAATAGTTTTCTGACAATTTTTACTCTTTAAGGTGTATCTGGCACTGGACTGGAAGCTGGCTATCTGGAGAAAGGTGTATATGCACTTGATGGTTTTGAAAACATTAATAGTAAGTTAATGCTCCATCTTTTGTTTTAACTAATTTAGAAGAGAGATCCTGCATATGGAAAGGCTCAACTAAATGAGTCTCTTTTGCGCGGACCTATCTATCGACTATCAATATTCAAAGAAAAGATAAATACCATCTTTTTTTTTCTCCCATCGATGTTTTACAGAGACTGAAGCTAATTGCGAAAAGAGTTCCTATTTGCATCTTGATGACTTTCCTATAGAGGATGAACCAGAAATGGTTTATATCTTTAAAAATGTCATTTGTAGGCATGAGGAATAAAAAAACACCAAAATGTTAGATAGTCAAATTCAAGGAACAAACATGCTTTTGTTTCTTCGAAGTATTATAGTAGACTTGTATCCCCCAATTAGAAGCTGGCATTTTATAAAATATTTCCTCGGTTAGGGAAAAAAAATTCATATTGAATTTTTGATATTTTTGTACTAAAATAACACAAATTTTAAAATTTACTATGGACATCTTATTCTTCAAGCAACAGTTTCTGAATTCCTCTAAGGCCGGGGATCAAGTTGCGGATGTGGACTTCCTCAAATTTGTGAAACCGATTGTGATGTCTCATTATTTTGGCGAACTCAAACTGTAGGCTCAATCTAGGTGCATGTTTCGAAAGACAACCCACTCTCCCAGTAAAAACTCAATGATACAGCATAAGAACCCCGAGAATCAGTGCGAGGGGGCTTGTCTACAATCCTAAATCTATTTTCATCAGGATTGTAGAGATAGTAAGTCCTATCATCTCCATTTAACCTTATTAGTAATTCTTCTTCCCTAGAAGATTTGGGGCTAACAATTGTGGGAGAGAAGTCCGTAATGACTGGAAAATCTAATTTGATGGCGTGCTCTTTCATCCAACCCCATGAAAAGGTACAAGACTTCTCCTTCAACTTCCAAGCCCATGTTTCAAAAATTCCAGTTCTCCTCATAGCATCCTCATCTGTGAGGTAAAGGGTTTTGATGAACTCAATACGAGTGTTTGGGTGTGATACCCAAAACGACAAGGAAGAGGGTGAATTTATGATTCCAAATTTTTCTCTCTCAATGTCCAAACAAACTATGAGTTCATTTTGATCTCTGATGTCTATCATTGGAAACCGGTTCCTATCTTGTTCACTAATCAGCCAATAAACAAATCCATTGATAGCAACCCCATCTCGCACAATACGGGGAGAAAACTCCTCAATCTTTTTCCATGACGATGGTGATGGGTTGATGCGGATAACATCATTATTTCCGACGATACTAAGGGAGAGCTTATGAGCTTCCATGTAACCATGTTGCGAGTTGCGCAAATTCACCGGTGAGTACTTTGTTTAGTAGCAAGATACTCAAGTACCACTTCCTCGTTACAACAACAAAGGGAAATCCAATAACTTACTTGGTGGTGGAAATGATGATGGTGGTCTAGGCACCGTATTAAATTGGCCTGACCTAGGGTTGCACAACTCAATATTCTCCACAGACGTGAAACACACTAAATCACCGCAATAAGATCGAAAGGAAGGGAACTTTTGCCATTCTACCGCTGGAGCATGACAAATACTACTGTTAAATTGGTCATCCAAATAACCATTAATATTGTTATTTGGGTCTAGGGTTGTGAACGTCACCAAGGGCAGATGCTCATCAATTGACCAAGGTTTTGTTACCTGGTGGTAGTAGTGGCCAACAAAGAGCAGTTTGGAGCTTTTCATCAACATGGATCGATCACGGTGGTCGCTCACGAATTGAGCGTCGCATAATACTTTCTTCCACGATTTGCGAATAGAGCGACACTTTACTTGACTTTTCACGTCCAATCTCAGTAATATCTCTGAGTATATCTGTGTGAAGCCTTCCCGATTGGATTGTCTCGGCCGCCATATATCTCATCCTTCTCCCTAACACCCCTCTCAACCATTTTTTTTTTTCCCTTAATCCCTCCCAAAAATTTCCTAAAGTGTGAAACGAAAAATTTTAGCAAACCCTAAGAATATTCGTGCTACTAGGAAGAACTTTTGCATACGATGACTTGATACAAATTGAATAGGTTAGGAGTTTCTACCTTGGAATATTATTCGTACAAGGGAAAAATAAGATGAGATTGATTTCTGTTCACACGACATAAAATACAATATTCAAAAAAATCAATCCCTATCTTTTATTTTTGGAAATAAGAATCAATCCCTATCTCGTCTCGTTTTCAATTTTGAATAGTAGCTAGTAATTTATTATTTCCTTATTTAAATAATCGTAAGAGTATAAAATCTTAAATAATCGTAATGATATAAATTATTTTTTTTATTACAATAATGAGAGGCTACGCCTTATGTCGAAATTAATATATTCCGAAGATAAACTACACCTATAACATCATGCTCGATCTATGTTTTTACTTCCGACAGTAGATCATCGAGTCATTATAATTCACCTGGTTATTGTGCTATTAAAAAAGTGAAATAGTCAGTCACAAAATTTGCCTCTCAATACTGATGGCGAACATGTACTTCCAACCCAGCAACTGTCGAAAGGCCATAACAACTCCCGCATTAATCCCATGAGCCATTGTAACAATGTAAATTATTAAACGCGAGAGAGCCAACTTTTTTGCCGAAATTTTGGCAAAAGAAACAAAATACACAAAATCGTTACAGTATGAGTCACAGAATTTGCTCCATCAGGGAAGAAGACATATGTCCATAAGCCCACAAAGTGGCTGTTGCATTTTCTTCCACGTTGCATGACCTCGGTCTTCCCCCTTCCCTCCCCCTCCAGAACTACATAATAAACTCTTAAAGTCAGAAGAATTGGCGTCAACTTACATTGCATCTTCTTTTCTTTCAGCTCCCTCAAGTTGAATTAAATAACAGCAAACCGGAAGAAGAAGCAGAACACTCGATCGAACCCTTATAGCTTTTTTAGCCTAAGAAATGGACCCGGTGGACCGTAGCAAGGACACAGTGATAATCCCGGCGGTGAGCAAAGACGAAAGCGGTCAAAAGCGTGTCGAAAAAGTGGAAGTTGAATCTCAGAATGTGGACACGCTCAAGCACGTGGAGAAGAAGATGATTGACAAAGGTGTCCGAAGACAAGACCGTCATCCGATGGACGGGGTTCCGTTAGGCCGTCAGCACAAGGCCGGTCACGGCGGGAAATACACTTGGGAAGGTCCGAGGGACTTCCTGGAGAACGAGATGGATCCGGCGCCGGCGGCTATCGACGAGAACGATCCAAACTACGTGGACGAAGAGGCAGAAGGAAGGATACTTAGAGGGGAGGTAAGTGGAGTGGCTGGCTTGGTGGTTGGGGAAATTGAGGTGCCTAAACTTGCGGAAGAAGGGGTCGCTAGAATTGATGTTGATCCGCAGCTACAAACTAATCTCTAATTAATTAGAGATCTATCTAGAGACCTTGTTGAGAATTTGACTGTATACTGGCAATTGGCAAAACAATGGCCTTGCATGTTTTTGTTGCATGAACAAAATCCGTCTTATATCTTTTTATTATATTTGCAAGTTTTTGGTTAGAATAATTATATAAGCATCATGATTTTACAAGCATTTGGTGCATTTTCTGCTGTGTGATCAGTTTTGTATCGTAGGTAGAAGCTTATAGATAGATGATCGAAAGTAAGTGTAGTTTGGCTCCATCTTGTGGTGTTTTGTGACGTACGAGGCTGGTCAGTCGCATCTGCTTAGGGTTTTTTGTGCAAAACTGTTGCGGAGAAATGAACAATCATGCATTACAATAGGATGGTAATTACATTTATTTATTAAGGTTCAGACCATCGATGGGGATGTAGCTCAGATGGTAGAGCGCTCGCTTAGCATGCGAGAGGTACGGGGATCGATACCCCGCATCTCCACGTCTTATCTTTTGATCTTTTCGGTTTTTCTGTCCTGGGCCATATATGCACTGGTTTCAGATCCAAAAGAAATTTTATAGTTTTGCACTTGAATGAATGGTTTCGTTTTGTCAGTAACTAAAATCCTCGAAATGAAGCAACCTCAATGAGCGAACGAAAAAAATCCCTGAAATGAATGACAAGATTTTAATAGTTCCTTGATCAGATTTCTATCCTGATGGAGCAAAATGTAGATGGTTCAAGATTCAATATGAATTAATTTTTCTCACACACATGCAATATAATAAGTTTTTCATATGCTCTGCAATGTCTTTTTTCGTTTTCACTATGTATTAATCAGAAATATTGGTTGATTGTCTAAAAAAATAATTAAATTAAATTACATTTATTTCACAGTTAAAATCTATCTTAAGAGGTTGATTAGCATCGATATTAAAAAGAATTAATGAATAGATGAATTTAGAGGAAGGCAATAAGTTGAACTTGCAAGGTGAAGAAAGGATTATAGAGGAAAATGAAATTAATGATAGTTGTCGTTTATTAGCCAGCATGGGGATGTAGCTCAGATGGTAGAGCGCTCGCTTAGCATGCGAGAGGTACGGGGATCGATACCCCGCATCTCCATTTACTCGCTCACTCACATGGACAATGATGAATGATCTCTGTTATTTTTTGCTCTCCAGTGAGATTTGTTTTTTTCCTTTGAAAAAAGGTTATTTATCTTACCTCCTTCTATACCAAACGAATCTTTTTGATAAAATGAAAGATGTCGAAGTCTAAAATCAAAAAATTGTAACATTATGAGGGTAAGAAACTCTAATAAAATAATATTCTAGCCATCGTCTTATTTCAATCAGCAGATTGTGAAGAACTTATTTCAATATGTAGCAAAATTAGTTTCTCTATTGGATTATTCAGTTGAATCAACCAAACGAATCTTAAACTCTATAAATCATGTACTGTACAAATAAAAGTAAGAAGACGACCAATCCCAAGTAATTTATTTAAGCAACTAGTTATTTTCAAGCCCCGCTATGCAGGGCCCTCTATTTGCAAAATGTAAATTAAATTTCTTTTTTGTAAATTAATGCTAGTATAATAACATTCTAAATTAAATCTCAATTTTCATAAATTAAATTTCTCTTTCGTAATTGAGATTAAAGGTGAAAAATAATTACAAATGTGAAATGCAAAATGATTAACAAGGTAAATATTTTTTTCTCTTAACAAAACAAAGAGTAAATGAGAGTTACTTTATACTGGTTGAGATTGAAGAAGTCGATGGAATGGAGAGATTTTGAATTTGAATCCAGAGAGGTAAAAATTAAAGCAAAAGATTATTGCATTTTTCCCTTTTTTTCAAAAAAAGAAAAGAAAAGAATAAGTCATAAACAAGTAGTATTCGGTAGTTAACAAGTGGAATATCCTGATTCACTCCTAAAAACTCTGGACTTCTGAGAAGATTAGATGTAAAAATACATATATTTATGTTTAAGTTGAGGCGTACTCATAAGTTGACACAAGTGACCATTTAATGTAAAGTGGAGGAGTTAGACACGTATGTAGTATTCTCTAGACTAGGGCTGTCAATAAACCGAGCAGTTCGTGAGCAGTTTGCGAATAGCTTAGTCAAAATTTAGCTTGAATTCGGTTTAGATCGAATTCGAGCCGAATTCGAACAGTTCAATTAGATAGATGAGTCGAACACGAATATCAATATACTTGATTTGAGAGCTCGTCGAGCCTATTCAAGCTTATTATAAATTATTTTATTTTTATGATGAATAATATATAATCCATGAAAACTTTTCTTTTTATTTTTTAAAAATTATTGTCCTTTATATTTTGAAGATGTAATAATGTTATATACATATTTTTTTATGATTTGTCAAAGAATTTTGCTCATAGAATATATAGATTGAACTTGTTGAATTAAAAATGACAAGTATTAAAATTTATTCGAGCTCAATATTATCGAGCATTCAAGCTTAATTTTTATCAGACACAAAAACTCGAGCCAATCGAGCCGAGCGCGAGCTATTCATTTTTATTTCGAGCCAAACTCAAACTTAAATTTAAATGTTCGAACTCGAGCTCGAGCACTTAACCTTTTGGGCTTGACTCGGTTCGTTGACAGCCCTACTCTAGACTTTAGAAGGTGAAGATCAATGTGAGATGACGAAAATGCCCAATGAAAACTGACGAAAAACCAACTAACCAACTACTAATGTAGATTTTAGGATTCCCACATTATATATTAGTAAGTGGATATACTTGGAATTGTGCGCATTCACAGAACAGAAGTAGGAAATTTAAAATAAGCAACTGCCAACTAATCCATTATCCAAAAAGCTCTTTTGATGATTAGATTCATAATGGCTTAAAAAGGCAATCCTAATATTGCATTGCTCAAAGTAATTACAGTGAAAGCATGCATGCAAAAAGTAGCAAAAGATGAGCTAGCTTTTGCTTTGCCAGATATTGCATTTTTTAACTCATTAATCAAAGTTAGATTAGGAGCATTGCCAGAATATATGACGCTACTGCATGAAAACACGATACGTATAAGATAATACTTTTATCCGTTCGTCTAAAAAAATAATAATGTCTCTTATTATTATGTTTAGTTTCAATAAAATAGATTTTTTTCTGAGGGAGGAAAAGGGGATGATATGTAATACCACCATGTGTATACTAGCTGCTTCTATTGTGGATCACACGTGAGAGGAAAAGATATGAATTGTCCACTTGAAAACCGCCATTTGTACTAGCAAATATGAGACAATCACACTTGAATAAATGCCCTATATCCATATTCTAATAAATGAAGTGATTTTATTTTAAAAAAAAAAGAAAAAACGAAAGGAGTATCATATTTTGTAAGTCAAAAGATAATTATTGATTTGAAATGGTTTTATTTAGTTCTTCCTTGAGCATCTTTTGCCGTCAGCTGACAAAAAAATATATGAAGGCCAAACACCGATAATTGAATCAGGATCCAACCGGTAGGCGATAGCGTTAGCCCCATTTTACGATGGTAATGACAAAATCTAGGTTGGGTACGTACCAGGAAAAAGAAAAAGTAAAGAGAGAATCATTGTATGGTAGAGCTTTAGAATATGCCAAATTGGCATTGTTATTTGTTTACTTAAAGTTGTTATATCTGTTGGGAGAAGGGTGGGAAAGTATATTGAAGTGAAAGATGGTAAACTTTGATATTTCAGGTTCGGATTTTGGAGTTAATGATTTAGCAAGTACTCCTTTCGTCTCATAATTATTGTCCAGTTTGGATTTCATTTTTAGTTCAAATTGTACTAAAAATGGAATCTCAAATTGGACAATAATTTTGGGACAAAGAGAGTATATGAAAAACTCTTACTAGGGCGCGAAGAACATGATGAAGGCTATTTGTGAGTTGTTAATTTTAGTGGAGTTGAAGCATATTTATTGTGAGATAAATTTCGCCATAAGCTCCCAAACATCGTTGGTAAAAGATAATGAGTAGCTTTGGGAAATTATTTTAGTTAAAAGAGTTACCGTTTATTTTGAATCGTGGTTTGAACATAATATTGTCGGTGTTTTATATCTGTTTCAGTTTTGAGTAAACAAGAAGTCTTAAGGTACATGGTTGTTACTTGTTGGAATAAAAGTTGACGTACATTATATATATTTTTTAATCGTATTACGAATATAAGGCGAATGATTATGCTCATATACTATATTTCTTGGGGGCCAAATTCATTTTTGGCATTATTTAGTAGACGACGGATCATCGTAGATATTGCAACGTGTGCTTTATTCCGACGGCTGACGATTAAAGAAATATGCCAGTAAGGTCGAAGAGGATTCCTGATGAATCATCATCAGTTTAATATGTTGTACGTAGAATTAATTAATGCGTGTAACTCTTGTTAATTTTCAATACTGATGATGAAACGTCGTGTGGTACACAATAACTGGGAGAGCATTCTCATTTGCACCAATCATATATAGTAGAGCATGCATGACACCATCCAAATTACCCTCTGCGGCTCAACCCGAGTTGTCAAAATTACCCTCTTCGACCATTCGTTCCAAAATATAAATCATATTTGTTGGAGGATAGAGTACCATACGTATTTTGATATGATTGGGAAGGATTACATGTGCTTCTGCTGATTGGTTGTAAACTAAGGTTGAAAATCTATAATACTTAATTAAAACAGCAAACAAAAATGACACATGTCAACTCCATAATGAAAATTTTTCCGTCAAAAGTTTTTTTTAGTACAAAAGAAAACTGACACGTGACACTCTAACTATTCAGGGAAAAAAATAGAATCGAAAAAAACCTTAACTATTAAATTAAATATTAATCTTTAGCAAAAGCCCAAAATAAAAACCCCAAATTACTCCCAAAATCTCGGATTCCCTCAATTAGCAGCCATTACACCGCAAATCTTTGGAAAAATTATCAACAACAATTCAAAATTCAACTTCACGCTTCTTCTGATTTGAACATCTTTGATTCCTCTTTAAATT